GAGACGGGCACTCCTATCAAGGAGCTGTGCGACCCCTTCGACTCCGTCTCCCTGTGTCTCAGCAAGGGTCTCGGTACGTGCGCAGCACTCCACCACGCGCCACCGCACTAACTCGCTCCACCAGGTGCCCCGATCGGTTCGTGTCTCGTCGGCCCCAAGGACTTCATCCAGAAGGCGCGGTGGTTCCGCAAGCTGTTCGGCGGCGGCATGCGTCAGACTAGCGTCCTCGCCGCGTCGGCGGCGTACGCGCTCACTTACAACTTCCCTCAGCTCCCGCGTGTGCACGCTCTTGCCCGCAGACTGGAGGCCGGCCTGCAGGACGTTGGTGTACGAATCACCAGCGGCGCCGAGACATGCATGGTCAGTGCTCATTAATCACGCTGTGTAATACAGAAGCCACACTGTTTCTTTTGCAGGTCTTCTTTGACCCTTCAACGATTGGTGTATCGTACGCCGAACTGGTCTCAGAGGCGAACAAGCTGCCCAACCCCATCAAGCTGGGTGGCTCGCGCCTTGTCGTCCACATACAAACCTCAGACGCGGCGGTGGACGACCTGATTGCCCTCGTCCGACGGCTGGGTGATGAGAAGAAGGCCGCCGGCTTCGTGTATTCTGAGCCTACGACTAACGGCTCGACGCGCCAGAACATCTACGTCAAGGTCAAGAACTAAACCCTAGATGCTTCTCCCGTCTTGCTTAAGCTTCTCGAGAAAACTGGACTCGATCCCGTCTCGATGTACACACAATCTAGATGTCATCTATATAGAAGGATGCCCATTTTTTGGATAGCACATACTTATCGTATATATGACATGCACGCGGCACCCTCAACCTTTCCCGACGTACTTCTGCTTCTCATACTCGCGCCAGATGTTCTTGAGGACGGCCTTCCCGCCCGCGTCGAGCGCGGAGACCATGAGCGCGTCGCGGCTGTACTCGCCCATCATGTCGCACAGTGCGAACAGCCCGGGCTCAAGCTCCCTGCGCACGTCCCCGGGGACGACGCAGAGCGGGTCGTTCAGCGCCTCGATGTGCGCCTGCAGAACGTACGCGGCGTGCTTCGCGAACGGGCGCGCGAGGGACTCAGCCTTGGCCCCGTCCGCCGTGTGCTGCTGACCGCGCACGACGGTCTTCGTAGTCATCGTCGTGAGCAGACGCGCGAGCGCGCGCGCTTCCTCGGACGACAGCGGGTCGTGCGTGTTGACCCATCGTGGCAGCGTATCTGTCACCATCTTGCTCTGCTTCGCACCGAGTTGCGGCCGCACGTGCCGGAGCGACATGTGTAGGCGGCGGAGCACGAAGGCCAGGTGCGGCAGCGTCGAGATGACTAAGTCCCTGCGTAGGCGGATGAGTGCGCTGACAATGGAGATGACTTCGTGGAAAACGGGTTTGTTCGTAGATCGGCCGTGCTCCACGGAGCCCTCGAGCGACTGGCCGAGGATCGACCACACGCTAGATAAGTCTAATTGGCGAACCAAGGCCGGCTTTTGTGGTGTCAGCAGATCGATCATTTAGCGTTATGAACGCGAGATTTACCCGGTCATTGAACTGCCTCGCAATGAAGCGAAGGGCTTCAGTATGGACAACCCCGTTCTGAACGAACTCCTGCTTGGCGGCAAAGAGCTGCAAACAACGTGTTAGAGACGCTTGCATGATTTTCGAGGACCCTGAGAAGACATTAGCTTGGCAATGAGACTAAGTATGTGTGGTTTAGCTACCTTCGGGTGCATTCTGCAGTAAGAGCGCCAAAACGTGCACGAGATTAGCAACGTCCTCAGGCTTGAGCCCAGGTTGCGATAGACCGTCGTAGACAAGATCAAGTGCAGCTGAAAATGAAGCACTAGAGAGACTCTTGAAGAACTTGGATAACAGCTCGTCTAAGTCATGACGGACTGCAAAATACGTCAGTCCCAGCAGCATTGCGGTTGTAAAGGGACGTACCTTGTTCATTGCATTCCTTGTAGAAAGCGAGATAGCTCGCCATGACGACTTCCAGGTACTCTGTTTGCTGTGGAGCAGACCGGCACTCCTCCGCGACGATCGACAGAGTGGCAAGGTACAGCCGCGACCATGGCGCGTCCGCAGTCTGTAGCTGGAAGAGGAGCTTCGTTGTGAGAGCTTTTCCAAACGCGGGGAGGGTGCTCCCGGGGGAAACCCATCGCTGGAGGACCAATGAACGATGCCATAAGTTCAGCAGGAGCGTCTGTTCTGCTATCGCAGTAACCTGCAAGCCTTTCAAGCTCGCCTGTTTCACCAATGGCAAGAGCAAGGAAGACATGCTTTGATGCAGAGGTCTCAGTCTGCTGAGGACGCTTGAGCCGTACCTAGATGGCTAGATCAGGTTATGGCTCTAATCAAACCATGCAGACGCACTCTTCCTGTTTTCCTTCGGTAACTATAGTGTCAACGAAGTGCAACACTCCATTCCACGCGAGTTCCTGATACACAAAGCTCGGTTGGCCGGATACGAACGTCTCAAAGTGTCCCATCGCGTCATTAGGCAGTGAATGTTCACCCTTCAACGATGACTTGATGCATACACTAAGAAACACGATCAGCCGATCCGGACGGATGCTCGTGTGAAGCACATACACCAAATGCATCCTGACCAGCTCTGACGTCGCTATAAATGCCTGCGAAGACGTGTCCTGCAAGCCACGCCGCAGCAGGAATGTCAAGTATGGCCCTACGAGCTGCAAAAATAACGTAAAATAACGCCGACAGCTCAGAAGACATAGGACGTACCGAATGCTCTGCACTTCCCATGAACATGAAGAGCCGTCTCAGGAACTCACGCACAAACAATGCCGTTTGTGCATCCCCGTGATCCGAGAGGACATCTGCGGCCAACGCCCTGCGAAGCAGGTCGCTCCGGATGCCGCGAGATAAGTACTCGGCAGGAATGTATAGCAGGAGCCTGTACGCGCCCCACTGTATCAGACGACAAACCAACAGGACTGTGCACCCCCTTCGCACCGCCGTGAGACGTCGACGGAGTCCAAGAGCTTTCGTGA